CGATATTTCATTTTCCTATCGTTGCCCAAAATTACACCGGTGTTACCGTGAACGGTATAATATAGCCCAGCCCTAGTTGTATGAATTGTAAAAGTCAGTTTTCTGCCTAGAAATGAGTTATATAAAATAGAAGCAGCTCACATGAAAAAGAAGACAAAAATATTTTTCTGCACAAATTTGTTTGTAGGCAGTGCTTTTGGTATCTTTTGAAAGCTTCTGTTTTGTAACCTTGTGGAATCACATCAAATAGTTCATCCCTAATTTGGGACAGACTGCATTTATAGACCTTAAATGCCTTAGCACATAGGAAGGTTTTAGACCGTTACACAACTGTGTGGCACAGATCTATTCTTAGCTTCAGCGTAGTTCGGTTTTGACACCGAGTGCCTTAAAAGTCTGATGTTTGCAATGGATTAGTCTTATGAGGGAACCAAATATTATCAGAGTTTTGAGTCGTGCGAGTGCGTGAATAATTGTCTAACAAATAGTCAATGACTCTTCAGACACAGAGCTTTGTGCCAGTCACACAGCCATGGATTTATCTGATCAGTCTCAGCCTTTGGATATCCACAAAAACAGTGACTACCACTTGCCTAGCAGAAAAATCATTGGCACACAACCAGGGCCGTGCACCACCAGCAAAAGACCTCACACCAGCTAAGCAGCTTAGCGCTACTGTCTTTCATGGCTGCACACACAGCCACAGGCACACACAGACTATTCACTGGAGGTGATTCAACATTGTTAGGCTGTGACATCCAGAGACATTAGTCACACTGATGACCAATGGACTTGTTTTGGTCTGCTCGTCTGGGGAAGCGGAGAAGTTAAACTGTCGTAGACAAAAGCACAAACGCAAGCTGAAGTTTAATGAACAAATCCAGGCCTGTAATCAGTAATCCCTGCCTACAAATAATTATACAAAAGTAGAATCAGGCCATTCAGACCCACACCCGAATCAGAAATCACGCAGCTTGTTTCATTAAAATCAAATTATCAGACTTCAGGCAGGTGGGAAAGATTTTCCTTTAAGACAGGGATTACGTTTCAGTGGAACTCAAACACTTTACAACTAAATCACAAGTTTTAGTCACAAGGAAAACAAGCATTCAGAAAACTAGGGGAACAAGACAAAACCACAGAGATATTACTTCCTCTGTTTGACAGCCCACCTTCTTTTAGCAGCAAACATTTTGGCCAAACTGAACTCTGACCTGCACTTACAGATTTGTTCTTGTGGTTTCCATCAATGATACGTGTTTGCAGAACATTATACGGATAGTATGTGATATATTAGTAATGTCTGCTTCATCAAACTTCTGAACCGCCTGCCCACTCAATCCTTGACACACTTTAATAACGTGTTGGGAGTTGGCATGGAGACAGCAGCACACAGGTCACTGATGGTGAGGTGTCAATAAGAGCTGCATGCCACTGCTTAGGAGAACATGTTGTCAGCAGCTGCACACGGCAACAACAACGAACTCAATGACTCGTGAACTCAGACTACATGTTAACCACTACAGATGTCCTGCAGCGCTTCCAACAGACTAGCTGCCATCACAGGTGCAGGAAACCCAATCTAACCGAAACAACGGCAACTGTTTCAGCCTGGAAGACACAGATACGATTACAGAAACCTACAAGCACTCATG